ATGAGAAAGTGCAACCCGACGCCCCCAGGTATGTAATGCCTGCAGGCTTCTTCTCCTGATTTGAATATGTTCTGTTCTGAGAAATCATTTCAATATAATCTTTCAGCTGTATAGGCAGTACATAAGGGCTAGGTGGAGCTTACCGAATCGATTTTAATCCCTCTTTTTTTGCCCACAGCTCCGATTGGATATCAAAACTACTACGAGAATAATGCTTCTGTGCAGGCAAACGGCAGTGCTGGATTTGTAGAGGGAGTCAAGAAAAGGTTGGATTATGACAACCAATAAAAATAATTCTCATCTCTCTTGCTCTCTCTCCCTCTCTCTTCCTCTCTCTCTATCAGTCATGTTTTAGTGGACTTCTCTAACAGCTTTTTATAATCTTTAGGATTTCAAATCTGCTGCCAGGAAGCTGTACATTTGGCTCCAAGCTGACCATCAATGAAGGAGTGTCAGAACCTCCTGGTACTGAACCAATGCTATTCAACCCATCCTACAAGTTCTCATAATGATTCTTCCAGACAAAGCAAGATGAACAAAAGCCATACCCTGCTTAAATTTAGTTTACAAACTTTTTCTCAACCAGTGAACTAACTTCTAGCTTCTCTTCTATAAAAAGCATCTCCACAGAAATACAGGTTTTGCAATAACCTTTAAATCTTTTCTACATGTTGTCACTTGACAACCACAGGCATCGGTTCCATTGACATCTATGCAGCAGATCTTCACGAAGTGGTGCAGAATTGTGAAGTGGAAATAAACGATAGATGGGTTTCCAAATTTGACAAACAAAAATCTGAAAAGTACAGCATGCATATGAATAAGCCCGCCCTCGAGTCAATACTTTTGCTGCAGTTGCAGCCCCCTTTAGTCTATATGTTCAAATCTACCAAATTTATAGGTGTTGAACTTTTTGCCCACTCTTAAATGTCTTTGAACATCAAATCTTAAGTTTCACCTCAGATTTTCAGTTGCATTTAGGTCTGGGCTTTGACTGGGCCATTCAAGCACATGAACCATTGTGCTGTAGCATTGACTGTATGTCGGTGAACCTCTGCTCACAGTTAAACCAGACTCATATGATGTGCTGCAACACCATAACACGTTCAAAGCTTGAGGTATTGTTTTATAATTAACTCTGTTCTCCACAACCTCCTTATTGACCTTTCTGTGGTTTTCCATAGTCTTCATGATACGTCAGTGAACACTTGTTCTCTAGAAAACCTCAGAGACCAACACAGGACAGCTGGAGAATAAGTTACATGCAGATGGGTTCTATTTACTATTTAAGCCAACCGTTTGCATTGGATTTTATTTAAATGCATCAAAGTAAGGAGGGCTAAATATGCAGAACCTTTCAGATTTTTATAATGTAAAAACACATACAATTTTGCAGTACTTTGTGTGGGTGAATCATTTTAAATCCTAATGAAATACATAGATGTTTGTGGCCGTAGCACAAAAAAAAAGTTTGCCAATGCTCTAACCCCAAACCTGTTTCAGTCAAAAGAGAAACAAAACTCTAGAGATAAGACAGTCAACGCCTTTGTGTTAACACAGCAGATATTAAAATGAGTTACTATATTGAGGACAAAAACTGGTGCGCTCTGTTTAACAGAGGCAAAAGGAAAAAAAGAGAAAACGCTGTCAGTCTTCTACAGTCATGTCTTCTAACATTTGTTATTTGGACAGAGGAATATTTAAAACAGCACTGCTCATCTACTGAGGGTTTAGAATAATGATACTGAAGATTATCTTCAAAACATTTATTAAACCGGATAGAAAATGACATAATTAGATCAAGACATTTATTTCCATGGTCCATGTTTTGAGTTGTTAATTGCAACCTTCAGCCTAATAACAACCGATTGTTTGTCTTCAGCAGGAACATCGGAGGGTGTTTATGCTTCCATTCCTGGACTCCAGAATTTCAACCAGAGCAGCAAGGAGTACAAGGCTGTATACGACTATGTAGCACAGGTCTGGTCATTGGCACTGGTTATTATTGATGTAGAGTTTCCGTTTTTCTTGCCTTTTAGGGACAATTTGTGAACTTGACTGTTGCTGTTCTTCTTTTAGGGGGAAGATGAACTCTCAATATCTGTTGGGGATGTTGTGGTTGTGATAGATGAGGGAGAAGACGGCTGGTGGACGGTGCAAAGGAATGGTCAGTCTGGTCTGGTTCCTGGTTCTTATCTCGCTAAGGAATAAGTTTTCAGGCCAGCCTGTTTTACATGTACATTTCAGAATGGTTTTGTACCTTGAAATCACAAGGCATCTTAGTGGCATGCACGCTTTCAGAAAAGGTCCCCCTGCCAACACCCGGCAGCCCCTCCTGGTCGTAGAGCGTATTTCCAAAAGCAAGCTATTTTCTTTGTTCTTTACAATCCTTTGAACTAAAGGTTGATCACAACACACTGAGCCCACTTTATGCCAAGAATCCAAACTAAAGAAATGTTACATACATAGATCTGTAAATAATGGCACTTACACATATGCCAATTAGTGTAAAACTAATCTATTTTGGGATCATCTTAGCGTCTCTTTCTCAAGCTGTTGGCATCTAAGAGTCGTGCAGATCTTTTGCACAGAAACATGGCACTAAAACTTCTTCGCACACTTTTAGTTCAATGTTGAGTCTGAAGTTTCAAAGGTTTTGTATGATTTCTGTTGTTGCCTTGAATGTAATTTATGTCTTGTTTGCATAAAATAAAAATAAAAAAAACATAATTGTGAAGTTTCCATTTGTATTTATAAGGCATGCGAATACTCATATTAAGATTTGAACCTTTTGTAGGTCATGTATGTTAGGCCACTGCTGTCTTTGGTACTCTTTGGTGAGAGGCCACTCATTTGGTAGCTACTACTTTTATAAACACAGCAGAGACATTTTAAGAATGCAAAAAGAGTTTCACAAGTGACTTGCAGAGGCAACAATGGAGTCATGTGATTAAGCAGGGTTAAAATAAACATATAAAAAAATGACAATCTAGATAATAGCAAGCCCTTTTCCAGCTCTGGTTTTACTTAGCAGGAAATGACAAAAAAAGAACTGGTCTTTGACACATTTGATATTATGTATATCCAACTGCAAGCGTACAAGAAGCATCCTGTGGACTCCACTCTGTCATTATTTGACAAAGACGAAGCAAAAACTTGTACAAGCTATGCGAGAAAAAATATCACTTATGTGAGTTGTTAAAGCCACCATGTATTGAAGTAACTGAAAGGCCTTTTATGCATAACTCAGTTCATCACATTCTTATTGGCACACTCTTCTCAACAATGCTTCAGGTTTTGAGGTTTGTGCAAGTTCTACAAATTATGCCACAGTTCAGTGGCGTCAAAGTTTTGGGCCATTGCAACATTTGCATTCGTTTTCTAAGCTTTTTGTGGATTTCCTGCTGTGTTTGGGATCAATGTCCTATTGATGAGCCAGTCTAGGCCAAGCTATTGATTAAAAGGCCTCATGTTTTACTCCATAATACTTTGCTATACAGAGTGATCGAGTAAATGGCTGCATAACGAGTCCAAATTACCTTCCACCACATGACAGCTGAGGTATGCTAATTTTTCTTGCAGACGCAACTTTGCACACCAAAAGTTGAGTCACAATGAAGAGGCAGTCTCTGGGCAACAGAAACGAGCCATGTTTGTTCTGTGTATTTTTAACAGAGTCCTGTAGGCTTTAATATGAAGCTCTGGGGTTTGCGAGTTTGCAATTTCTCTGAGAATTGTTAACCCTTGGGTGAATTTGCTCAACTCTAATTGAGCAAATTCACCATCTACAATAACAACTGTAGATGGTGACCAGAGCTAAACAGGTCAATAAAAGTACATACACAATTACAACATTTGTACAAAACAATATTGTTCAAGGCAACAAAGTTTGACTGCGGAAAAATTGATCTTAAATTGCTTGGAAATGGCATTTTAACCGTTCCCCAAAAAACTGATTGCAGATTTCTGTCCGTCCCAGCATTGGATGAATACTTACCTTTATGCACCAGATGGATCAACCAAAAGAATATCTTTATTTTATTGAGATGGTCAATAAATCAACCGTGTCTCATTGGTGTCAGTTGCCGGCTACTTTCCTAATTAAATCCCATGGAAGCAGCAACCTTTTATCATTTTGATTTCATCTGTGCTTCATACATTAAGTGAATGGTACAATCTGTTAACTTTAAAAGATAATAGCTTAATTTTTAAAGATTACGGTAAAAAGATATGGTCTTTTCCATATCTCCGTTGCATCCTGAAGAAATCAATGAATCTAAAGTCTGAATTTCATTGTACATAATACTATTTTGAACTGAGTATCTTACAACTCGCTTGGGGACAATCTGAGAATTTTAGAAACTGACATAACGGGGAAACACCAAAATCTTGACAGAATAAAATTGCATAAGAAAAAGAGTAAAGCTGTTATGCAGATGTCTGAACAAACCAGAAAGAGATATCATTTGTTCTCAACTTTTACTTAAACACATTATTTACATTCTTCAGTTTCATCATTGCTATATGAGACAATATGAATAAACCATATTGTAGTAGAGTACCTGGGACTAACAAACGGATATGAGAGAAAAATAAAATCTATCTGAAAACCAATTAATACATCAAAGGTTAAATACATGTATTTCCTAAAATAAAGCTCACATAAGTTAAAGCCAGTTCTGTAGGAGCTCGCACACAAAACCATGCTGCTGAATCAGGAGATGGTGGTGTCCATTTTTTATGCCGTTAAAATTTAAAATAGAGTATTAGGCATCCTCAGAAAGCAGGAACAAAGTAGAAATCTCCATCTGTCATTCAAGTACATGATAGATTCAAAAATAGAAATAATGCAAACCACAATAAGGAAACTATCCTGTCTATACATAACTCGTGTTTTCAAAATTTGGTTTGGGTGAAAACAAACATAAACCTCAGATCCCACCTAAAAGGAGAAGTATTACGGGTTACTTTCAGAACAGTTAAATAAAATGGACCAAATGGTTTTTTTTTTGGGGGGGGGGGAGCGGGGGGGATTAATTTTAACATACATTTACTTTTAGTGTATAAAGATAAAGCATGATCACAGGTTTTGCATCCTCTCACCAAAGATACATATTCAGAAAAATTGAGAAAAGCGTTACACTTTTTACGCTATGGTACCCCCGCTGATAAGAAGCTCGTAGGCAGGATCTCTGCTTCTGCGGCACAGCACGACACAGGCACACAGCATCCCCAACATCTGGAAAGATAAACAAACATTCCCACACTTTTATCAACTGATACATCCCATACCATTCCAGGTTCATCTTTTCCTATGTATTAGTTCTTTACATCCAATTTATTACATTAAATACTAAGTCGCCCTATGATTTTAGAGCAGCTGTTTCTACAATAGAAATACTTAAAATTGGGAAACTTTATGGTTCTAAAAAGTTATTTCAATATGATACTGGTTTATTTTTTCTTCTTCTTCTTCCCCATTTTTCTAAGAGAGGGAGGAAAGTGGAAACAGGAGAAAGGAGAAGGGAAGGGGGGGGGGTGGCGGGAAGAGAAAATAATACTAGATACCGGTTATTGAATGATCACATGAAGGGGTATGCTGTCTAGATTAATATAACAAACTGAAAAGAGGATTGTGAAAGATTATATCACTCTATGTGAACAGATGAGAAGCATTTTCTTCATGTTGTTTCTAAATAAAAATTTGTATAAAAAAAAAAATCGGGAAACTACAAAAATGGAGAGAGAGAAGGGGTGGACAAAAGGGACAAAATCAGGACACAAGGAAAGTAGAGCGAATTACCTGGATGGCAGCAAACGTCAGCGCAGTCCAGATGACATACATCATAATCTCCTGTAGCTTCTTCACGACCAGCGCTTCACAGCCCTACAAATACACACAAATTATGTTCAAACATACAAAACTACAAGTCCTTATTTAAAAAAAAAAAAAAAAAAAAAATTAAGCCTTTTTACTTCTTGGTAGAGGTCTTCAGGATGAGTAAGAGACCCTGTGCAACCTGCAATTTTGCAGCAACTGATGGGAACGCTGTTGTTTTTCGATTCTTTATACCAGTGTGTGTGCCGCCAGTCTGAGAAATTGTGGATGCCGCAGCACTGAAGCTGAAAATGAAAACAACAAAGTCGATAATGATGGCTGGAAACAGATGCACGGCTGGAGCAACACAAGGCCATCGCGGATGGCTTACAAATAAAAAGTTTTTTTAATTTTTTTTTAATTTTATTTACCTGTCTCTGAACATAGTCAATGGCCCGGCTTTGGGCGTTGCTGTTCGTGCCATTGTACTCGTCATAAACTTTCATGATAGAAGTGTTGACTTCATCTTCAACCTGGAAACAATAAAGGAGGGTAAACATTACTGCTCTATTAGATACAAAGACAATATTTAATAGCCTCACAGCAAACATGAGCTAATGGGAGAAGGTGGAGGATTGCTTAAGGCTAAGTACACACACACAGACATGCTAAGACAACTGAGTCAAGCGCTTGCCAGACCGGTCCATATTGTGATGTCAAACCACACAGATGAAAGTCCACGATCCACTACCTCTGGTTTTTCTAGTCAACTCAGTCATCACACAGCAAGTAGCCTGCACCCTTTCCTGTGCTTCTCAATTTTACGGGTCAGCAATTTTGTTAGCAGGAGGACGTTAGCTAAACTGCCAATAATAATCTGAAGTTGAATTCAAGAGTTACCAGAAAAGATGGCCTGCGTCGCAAATTAGACAATTACATTTCTCTCTCTCACCTTCGCTCTGTAAACGTATCCGAGAACCACCACAGCCACTTCCGTCATGAAAACCAGCAGGAGAATGACGACAAACTGTGGATTGGATTTCAAGATTATAGGTACATGGATAGCAGACACCACTGTTCAAGTTACTTTTTCCAAATGTATTATTCACTGCTTGTGGCTTGACGTTTAACCAAACAGAATGAATTAGAAAAGAATTTTAAGTGAAATAAAACGTGCAACGTTGCAGTCGGACTGGTTTACTCACCGTGGTAAGTCCACAGTGGCTCTCTCTCACTGTCGCGCAGCATCCGATGAGTCCAATGAGGAAAAGCAGCGCGCCTACTGCTATGATGATGACTGCAGGGATCAGAGTGTAAACGTCCTCGAAGAAGTGATCGTAGTCATCGTAAGTGATGAATACATAGGCCCCAACATAGCAAAGGATGCCAGCAGCGGCCTGTGGGTAACCAGAAAATGTTACATTACATTTACTTTTAATTTTGCCGTCAACGCAAAAATCACTACAATGTAAAAAGCTTCAAAAACGTTTCACCTGGTTTTTCACCAGGTGAAACATGAACCCAAAACACTACTGTTTCATCACTATGCTTCAAAGCTGATGTCATGTTCTGAAACAATGCATTTTCTTGCCTCTTCTGCATATTAAATTTGTGCAATCTCTTTTTGATTGCTGTTGCTATATATCAGTACTTAAAGCATTTCTTCTAGGTTACCCTAACTGGAAGTTTTCTCTGGCTGTTGCTGCTGGAAAAACCAGTTCAGGGAAAACTTGTTGCTGCTTAAAACCTGTTTTGCTCGAGGGTGGATACGTTTACCAGCATAATGCTTAAATTCGTTTAACCTTAAATTGCCCTCATAACAAAAGGAAAGAAAAAAAAATCATCAACCACCCACTTTTTGAAAAACAACAAGCCTTTAAAATATTGGCTCCAAAAAACGCAGCAAGAGTTGCTCCTTATGTTACCAAACAACCGATATTGTCATTCCAATATTTTAAGTGATTAATAAGAAATTGGAACCATAAGAATATAAATAATTACAGAAAACAGAAACTGAGATCTACCAATTGATCAGAGATTGTAATTTAGAAAAAGGTTAAAATATTGGATTGTTGGTTTAGCTATCAGAACAATTTTAATTTTTCCGTGTTTCATTGTCCTGAAATACAACTTAAGTAAACTATTCTACACTGTATAGTAGTGAGATTGCAATATTGTGTTTTTGCCTGCAATTGTAGCCAAAGTTACGTTTTTTTTTGTTTTTTTTTTTAAGATATTTTTATTTGGACTCGTTTGTTATCCTCATACATTCCACAATTTTGAGGTCATGTAGTCAAATTATTGTTTTTATCTCTATATTTGCTTTATTTTCATTTATATGCAAAGAATTAAAAAAAACTGGATCGTTTTGACTTAGCAGGCTCAGCTGATTCTGTCTTGTACATTACTATGAAGCCATACACTACCTGTTACAAAAGCAATTTACTGTTCCCAATAAGTTATCTGTCTTCATTTAAACAACTCAACATGCACCTACCATTAAAACTACGTTTTGTTCCCTGATTTGAGCTAACACAACTCTCCTGCCATGTGAGTTTGCTATTTTTAGACCACTAGCAAACAATTTTGCTGCATCATTCTGTGGTCTGTTTTTATCTACACAGGATCCCCCACCCGTAGGAAGAGTACAAGTCATACTACAACTGCAAACAAAGGCTCCTTAACGCTAAAACTCGGCTAACAAATACAAAAACAATCAGCGGAAATTATACAGTATCATACCCTGCATTTTTTTTGAAGTGGATTAGTTTCTACTGCTATTCTTTCTGTGAATCTTTCGTGAAACACAGATATCAGACATGTTGAAGCTGACTGGGCAGCTGACTACAGACAAGCTAAGCTAATGGGGGGTGGGGGGGTGCACTTTGTGTGACGCATGTATAATAATAACAATCAAAAAACCTGCAAACCTACCCAAAATATCAGGTTTAGGAAGACCAGGACCGTCTTCGAGGACGTAATTCCACACTGTCCCATCATTAACGCGGAGATTTAAAGCTGCTCCTGAGAGAAAACAACGAAGATTTTTACTCAAACATGTCCCTGCTTCTGCTGCTGCTTCTACTGTTGCTGCCCTCTCCGCCAGCCATATCCCAACTCTGCGCATACACGGAGACACACAGGGAAGCGACACAGCGCCACCAACATCCGGAATACAAGCAGCGAGCGCTAAATAAATAATTTACCAAACCAACCCATATGATCTAAATTGTTATATTCAAGATAGGTTATTTGCAACAAAAAACATTTTTATCGCAAATTTGAGTAAAACAAAACAAATGCGTGAACTTTAAAAGGAGGTATTTTGCCGACATCTAGTGGCCAAATGGATACTGTTTTTTTTCTGCCATTTTTTTGTACCAATGTGAGTTACTGGATAGACGACAGTGTTTACAAATTTACAAAACTTTTTCTAATTTAATCTTGTTATTTACACAGTCTTCAGAGTAGTTTATTGAGATCGTATGTCAAACAGAAACTATAAGTAATACACATTATTTGTGGAAAAATAATGTCTAAATCATATAAAAAAGTGTGGCATGCTCACCTGAAGCCACATTATTTGTAGAAGCCACCTTTTTGTTGCTTAATGGTACTCTATTCCGTGTTAGAGAACATTCATGATTAATCAACATCATTTGTCGGATGGAGCAAGCCAAAAAATCTGCTGAAGGCTGGAAAAGAATTGAAAATGAGGAGCAAGTTTACCTTAAGCACCACAACTCTAGATCAAAACATATTCATGTATTAGAACATGAGGCCCAAAGACCAGAGATCAATCCAGTCGAGAATCTGTGGAAATACTTGAAAATCACTGTTTATAAGTGGTCTCAATCTGATCCAAATGACACTGAGCTATTTTTCAAAGATGAATGGGTAAGCATTTCATGGTCTAGCAATGCTGTAAGACACACCTGTGCATTTACAGCAAAAAAATGGCTCGACAACATTTTGATTGAGGGAGGTTGACCACAAATGCATGTCACATTTTTCAGTTGTTTTTTTTTTAAAAAGCATGTCTTATTTTTTATTTCTTTTCACAACTACTTTGTGTCAGTCTATAATATATAATTCTCAGATAAGTTACACAGATGAATGTTTTTGTAACCTAATGAAGAAATGTGGAAAACCTCACAGACTGTATCAATGACCAGCATAGTGTTAAGCAATCTGTCTATTTTGGTCATTTTTATTATAATAATTGAAGTTGGTACACAGTTTTCAAGGTAGTCGAAAAAATGATATCTTCTATTTAAATGATCTTAAATTTTTGTAGACAAATTTGAGACTCATGATTAATTTAGACCACACATATTGGTGACAAATGCTTTTATTGGAGTTTGTTACATAAGCATACTTACTGGATATTGAAACACACTCAAGAATTTGATGCATTTTCAATAAAGCAGCTCACTAACTTTATGCATCTGTTTATGTGTTTTTATAAGAAAAATGTCATGCACAGCCATATTATAGCACAAGCCTGTAATACAACTGCTGTCAAATGCATGCTATTTCATAGCATTACAGAAGCTGAAGTCGGCATGTGTGCCAAATATTCTGTCCCAGTGACTGAAGTGAGGTGCAAAATTAGTATTGGGTTTCTGATGGTGCACATCATGCTTGCTGGGTCCTCCGTACATGCCAAACGGAATCAGGCGAGATGTGGACCAGGGGAAATCATAGCCACAGTGATCCTCCACCGAAACATACACGTGCACTATCATGAAAGCCCATGTGGTGAGTAGATGAGATTTCAGGATGACAGGATTTAGAGTGGTCCAAAAACCCACTGTGACCAGCTCCCAGCCACCCAGACACTGGGTGGCAAGAGCAAAGGGAGAGGAGTACTTGTGGTGAATGGCATGAAAGGTGACGTACAGCCAGCGGATCCTATGATGGAGCAGGTGCCAAATAAAGTACTGGAAGTCAAAGAGAAGGAGGTTGCCTATCACCCCGGCAATCAGCTCTAGCAGTTTGGGAGCCTGGTCCGGGAGGTCCGCCGGTGGTCTCCATAACCACTGAGCCACTGAAGCAGGGAGCACGAGAAACACATGGTTGTACAAGGTGACACCGGCGGAGTGGAGCAATGTAGAGGCTGTTGGCCGGTGGCTAGGTTGTATCTTGAACTGTTGCACCCATGGCCATCTATTCCCCATGATGTCACAAGCAAGATAAGGAATGCAGAAGATGAAATACGAAGACACGGTTAGCACAATGGGGAAGAGTGGAGATCTCACATAGTCCCGGTAGTTTAGCCTCAGGGTGTCCCACAGAGGTTGCAGGAGAGAGTTTTGTCCCAAGTAATTTGTCCAGATATCCATGGTGTTATCTGCAAAAGCCATCCTTAGGAGCAAATCAGAGGCAGTTTTTTGATGACTGAAGATGCTGCAGTCAGACACAGCAGCTTTGCTGAACACTTCAGCCCACGAGTGTCTGCCTATGCTCCGCTCTCAGCGTGGGTGGCATCGAGTATCAAACAGATCCGACAAATTATTCATGCACCCTGGTTAACTGGTAACTTAAAGCGCACTGTTCACATGTTGTAGTACTCATTATGGAGAATTGTTTCAAATTGAAAAAACAAACAAACAAACAAACAAACAAACAAACAAACAAACAAACAAACAAACAAAACAAAACAAAAATAACTAAATTCTCAAAATCTCTGCTAGTGGTGTATCACTATTTAAGAACCAAGGCAGAAAGGAGAGGTAACTTTTAAAGTATAAGCAATTTTTTTTTTCCCCTAACAATTAAGAAAATGCCTTCATACTGTGCTTCTGGAAAATGCAAAGTCTAAAGATTCAATTTAACACAGGGTCTTGTGCAAGCAAAATAATCAACATGTTTTAGAGTTATTTTGTTATAAACCAGCACAAAGTTGTACAATAATTCATGGGTGTCAATATTTTTTGTGTTTCTTTGTGTCCCCCTCTCCCCCACTCCACTCTTTTTTTTTTTAAATCTTTTTACAAATAACAGGTTTATTAGTGTGAAGTGTTCTTTTTTTCCTCTTTTTTAACTGGTCAGGAAAACTTAATTACAGTTTAACTATATATAGATATTTGGTTCAATTCTTTTTTTGCAGAATAGAAAACTTATATATATATATACATATAAAAAAACTGCCAAATAAACCTTGAACCTCCCTGCTGCAGAGGGCGACAAACTGTTAATTCATCCTATCACAGACACATCCGGACCCAATGCTTTCCCAACACGCCACAGCTTTGTTTTGGTTCCAGCACGGATCCATTTTTCCATTACGAGGTGGGAGTCATATTGGATCAGCGGGACGGATGGGACGCAGTTATTGGTTCTCGTGTTATTCACGGACGCTTTGAGGCGATCTGTCGTGTTCTTATTTCGCTGCATTTATTTCTATGCAGGTTAAATACTCAGATATGAAATATGGCGAGCCAACTCGATCGCTCTGCAGATGTGGACGCTTTGGTCAAAAGACTGGAGAAGGAGTCTCTGACTAAGTTTGTCACTTTTTCTGTGGACCGACATTACAATGACAAAGGTATAGGAAGGTATTCTTCCTGTAAGATTCTTTAAAGACAAATAAATAATGTTACCAAGAATACATTATTTTCGTTAGGTCTAAGTGTTTTTTTTTTTTTCCAAAATACTTGAGTTGCCATATTTAAAGGAACAATGTTTGTTTATTTGTTTGCTTATTTTTTTTACTAACCAATGTACATTGTGGATAAAAACAGCTGGATAGAAAAGTGTAGGTTTCCACTTTGAAAAAGTTTTTCAAAAGCACACTGAACAGAAAAAAAATATTATGCTGTGTGTGTCTGAATGGTTGATGACATCACAAAAGGCACAAGAGTCAAGCCCGTCAGCTGCTCATCGTAAACGTTATGATTGTGATTGCTGATCCACAGATTGGCAGCCTTTACCTGTGAACCGGGTCCACTGGCAGTGGGCCGGCGGTTCTGGAATGCCTTCGATTGAATTCACCGGAATCCCTTTCATGTTTGTGGGCTCCAAAAGGCTTGTCTGCCACCAAGGCAAAGATCTTGCTGCGGCCCAGAAGAGGAAGTATTTTGAAGAAAAAGCTAGAAAGATGGTAAGTTTACACCAGCACACAAAGACATTGATGCATTGAAACAAGAGACATATCAGCGGAACACAGAAGAAACAATATCTTGAAAGATGCAGGTAGTGATAGTACTATTGTGGGTTTTAAAGTTATGGTTTGATACACTTCAATCCAGAAGGATATACAAATAAGTCAGTTGATAATACTCTGTCATCAACTGACTTGTTGGTAGCTTTTGAATTAAGTTCAGAATTTCTTCACATTACACAGCTAGAAGACCACAGCCGTGGCTGCCAGAAAACCCGTCGGCCATCTACAAAAAAGGTGGGATGTCCAGCAGCCATATCAATCAGCAAGATTGCAACATTCCCTAAGTTCAAGGTTGGTGTAGTCTAATGAAAAACTAAGTGCTGGTTTATTTATTTATTTATTTATTTGGTTTTCGTTGTACGATCTGGCGGTTAAACCAGATAACCCATTGCCCTCTCTAGTTTACAGGATTTAAAATGTACAAAAAGTAAATTTTTTTAGCTAAATTCTTCTTTGCCTTCCTCCTTGTCTTAATTTTCTCATGTTAGGTGGTGGACAGTGCAGAAAGGAGTAAGAAGGCAGCTTCAAAAATGCTAAGAATGGCCCTGGAGAGAGACCCGGTCATTTGGGAAACGCGCTATGCTGTCCTACATTCGAACGAGCATGCGGGACATGCAGATGGGAGAAATGGTAAGAAAGTATTTAAAAAAAAAAAAAAAAAATTGAAAAAATATTTTTGAGATTAAAGTTTTATCTAAAAAAAAATAAATAAATAAACTGTGGTTCCCTTTCTTGTCCTTAAAGAAGGAGATGCGACCTCACGATCTGGCATGATCTCATGCAAACGAGCAAGGAAGTCAGATCTGAGAAGGAAATGCGTCAAACTCACCAAACAACTCCTGGACAGCTTGAACTCTATTGAGGACTATCATATGCTTGAGGAGGTTTCACAAGTTTTAAGCACCCTGCTGAAAGACTTAGCTCGTCTGAACAGCAAGATGGAGGGAAAGTCTCTTCATCCTGAAGCCAAGAACTCTAGAGCTTTATCTGAAGTTCCAGCCCATTTGTCACGGAGGGACCCCGAGGGACCTGAATCTGCACACAGTGATTGTTTAGGAGCTCGGGCAGCCAGTGACCAGGAACTCACCAGTTAAACATCCCAATTTAACATTTCCAGACTTTTAAAGCTTTTTGTTTTGCTTTTGTTTGGTGTTCCTGTTACCAGGAGTTAATGACTCCACTGCCTGTCTGTAGAATGTCCTCATATGTGCACATTTTGTGAGATTGGTTTACGTTTTTGTCTTAGCACAGGTGTGTTTACAGGGTAAGATTTTGCAACTTTGTTACTTAGAAATGTGATTTTTTTTAAAATAACAAACATATTAGTTTGTGCAAAGTGGCTAAATTGGTCCTTTTACATTTCTGAAAAAAATCTTGGATTTTTCTTTTTTTTTATTGCCATATAGTTAAAGGAAAAGCACTGTGCATTTTGGTTAGTAATATTAGTAATTATCAGTTTAGTCTACTGATAGTGCTAACTGTCTATAGACCAGTTTAGTCTATTATTTTTTGCCAAAGAATAAACTCTGAACTCTATAAAAAGCCACTGGACTCTTTAAAATGCTAGGAAATTTGAAATAAAATTGTTATTTTGTATTTTATCTGGATAATGAACAATGCATATGACCAAACCAGCCCAGAAATGGTTCACCTGACATAAAATTACTCTTTGTAATACTGTGGAAATTGATCTAAAGATTATATCCCTTCGACCTTGTGCAACCTGAATGCTCGCCCTTGAAAACAACAAGGTGACCTTGTCAGAAATAATGGTGTGCCCTATGTTTCACTTAATGACGGCTGGAGATAGACATTAGCTTCCCCCCTGAGCAGGGATAAAGTGCTCAAAGAAAATTTGGAATTTTGCCAGTAAAATTTGTAGCAATCTTTTTTTTTTAAAATATATTTTTTTTGAAAATCTTCAGCAAGGCTGTTCAGTTTACCTATAAATATGTTTTCTTTTAAAGATTTCTTTTAAGAATATAAGCTTTAATTCATGCGTTTATTGATTTTTAAAAAGGCAAGTTGTTCTTGTTACAGAAACTTTATTTCAAAATCTATTTTAGCCATCTGGATAGTCACATAACCAAAAGTGTCAATAAATAAATTTTTATTTCATCATGGGTTTTATTTCCATTCATTTAAACTTGATGCATTGATGAAATTATCTTTTAACAGAGCTGCTCAGAACTCACTTATGCCTGTCTCCAGACAGCTCAGCAGAGGTTTAAGACCCTAAAACAAGGTAATAGCCCCAGTTGGATTTCCAACCAAACTTACGTAATATTGGTTAAAAAGCTGCTCAGTGATGCAAAAACTTAAAGGATTAGTGTTAGTGCCTGTTCAGACCGTGATTATGTTTACTGAAGCTTATCAGAACAAGAAGGGCTGTGATTTCTCTTATTTTTTGTAGTTCAAAGCCCTACTACTCATTTTACTAGGCTAAGAGGGGGGAAAAAAAAGAAAATACAGCTCATAATGATTAACACTACCATCATGTTTAATCCTATTGTGTATCACCACTGCTTTATTTAGCAATTTATGTTTTGATATATTAGATTTAATTAGCTTTTATTAAGTTATATACTACTGAATATAGAATTGGGTGTCTTCATATCGATTATGTACACCCCCTACATATTCTTTTACCACTATGTGGCGCCAAAGTATTATACAGACCTGTCATTCACCTGAGTAAAACTATCACTATTTATTTTGTTTGAATGCTCAGAGAGAATGTTGAATTGTATTTTAGATCATGTTAAATGAAACAAACTAACTTGATATAAATTATATATGCTGATTTTTTTTTTTTTTTTTTTTAATTAAGCATTTTTACTTTTTTGGCAGACAGTAACACTGCAACGGAGCCAGAAATGTTGCTTTCAGACCCTGTGACCTGACCTGCAGACAAACAAAAATGAGTTTAGCTGCAAGCACTGCCACTGCAAGCTCAGCACCTATGGGATTCCAAGAACTGAGGATATTCCAACTCATGAGTCAAACAAAATAGGTCAGAGCCCAGTTCTCCATGTTTTCCAGGTGAATCAGCAATGGCCTCAACAAAGCTGCCCCAGTTGGCTTTCAAACTAGTCTAGCACAACATTAAAAAAAAGGAAACAAGAAAAAAACACTCCACAGATCTATTCGGTGTCCACCATGGACACATTTACACACATATGGGGAAGTATCAGGTATCGGCCAAAACTATAATAATTAAAGCAAATCTTTAAAGGGGATGCTGAAGTGTAGGATTAGGTCGTGAGATGCTGCTCTGCAGTATTTTGCTAAACAAGCTAAAATCGAAATTACTAATCTGGTAATGATATAAACTTAAAAAGCAGCTATTCAATGCAGCTGTTTTAATTGGAGTAGGAAGACATCAGACTCCTTAGTGGGTTCATCAATAAATAAGACGTTACTTTTTCAAAGACATAAAATACGTTTTAGAATCCAAATGTTTATGAGGGTTCGCCATGAAAAAAAAAACTGCATGAGGATAAAGTTGAACTGCTTCCTTTAAAAAATATTAAGTGCAGAAAAAGAACTTAGAAAATGTCATGTTCTCATCTTCCGGGACACTAGGTGGCGGTAGAGTCTCAAGTTACAACGCAAGTAAAGACGGTTCTTCTTGGCACCCACAGTAGAAGTTAATCATTTACACTTGGTAGAAGGCGTTTCACTAAGTGTACCTGTTGAATTGCAGGTGAAAAGTCACGGAAGCGACAATAACAAAAGAATATACTTCTACAAGAGGAGTGCCAGCCAATCCCTAAAGAAGAAGAAAGGGCGTTATGTAGAGTTAACTGTGTAGTTAGCTGACAGTTGCTAAAGTCCACCTTTATCCAGAAGCTCTAAAATACTGCGGAGCTTGTCTTACTCCGAAAAAGTGTTTCACTGCGTCTAAGTGGATTTGAGGTAAGGCTACATTCCCACAAAAACATCATTTTCGTGAATTAACTCATTGAAACACTTGTCCAATAACCGTGAGTTGAACGAAGTTATTTTAGTTTACGCTAATGCTAAAATTAGATGATCTGGCAATCATTTTATCTTCTAGATTAAAAATCACGAAGAAACATATCTTTAATTGCTCAATATCACAACCATGTGAAATAAAATGGTTGCACACTAAATATCCCACAAATATGTAGGAAAAAAAAAAGAAATTAACTGTTTTGATATTTTACTTATTCTTTATTTTTCTTCGGTTTTAAACTGTTATTCATTTGCATATTTCTATTTTAAAAAGCATGTTTTTAATCTGTCTCTCTAAGAATTTCCATCATTGTTTTAGTGGAAAAAAATATTTGGTATATTTTTTTTAAAATATATTTTTAATTTAATAAAAGGAGTGTTGACAATTTTTTTCTGTGAGAGCACTGCTTTAATATTAAAATGTCTAATTATTGCTGTTGCTTCACTAGAGAAACTACTACGTGTCAATTATTTGAAAAACAGAAACTGTGTACTTTCCCTCAGGTTTTAACAATGGAGAATGAGGGAGAAGTGAAAACTGAAGAGGAAAAAGCTGAGTCATTTCCACAAACACAGCAGCTGTGCCGCTTCTTCTCCCAAGGACGGCACTGTCATTTTGGCAAGAGGTGTAGATTTCTGCATGTAAGAGAAGATGAAAAAGATCATGAAAAGAAAAGTTTTGAGACACCCAGCCAGCCTGATTTTACTCCCTCAAACTCTCAGGACGGTGGTCAACTTGAGGGAGACAATTCGGCACTTGCCCACAACCCAAAGTTTGCCCCAGGCTCTGCCCGCCGCCCTTGCCGCTACTTTCTCTCTGGACATTGCACCATGGAGGACAGATGTCGCTTCTGGCACCCGCCACAGTTACCTCCATTGGACGACCCATCTGTTACTGCTATTCAGAGTAAATCCACACCCTGCCATCCTCCGGAGCCCCATCCCGGTGGCCTGCAGGAGGTGAAGTTGTGCGAAATGACCGAGGACACGGCCAAGCAGCTGCGAGACACGGAGATCAGGCAGCTGAAGAAGCGTTTCCCCAAAGATCAACTGATCATTCAGGAGAGAAGTGACGGCAAACTGACATATTACAGGGCTTCTGTAGAGGCCACGGATCCAGACTGGGTAACAGTCTTGTTGTTCATTAAAAACATTATCTTTATAGTTTATCCCGGTACATTTTATTATTGTTAATGAACAAACATGAGTTGCGGTACTGGATCTATATCCAGCCTGTTGAAACAAGTGATTTGATCGTTTGTTTTTGCGTTATTACAGCCTTTTGATCTAAAAGAAGTTGACATTATGGTTAGCTTCCCAGACAACTATCCCCTTGAGGTAAAGAACACAGTTTTACCTCTAAGAAAACATGACACAATATCATGTTAACTACCTGACATGCAATAAACACCTCTTGATCTTTATATTTCCACAGATTTTCACATTAGAGATCCCACTGGACCAGAACTTGCCTTCAGTCATGGCAAAGTAGATTTATTTTTTATTTTTATTTTTTGCACGTACAGTTAAGTGTTGCCTGTAATATTACAGGCATTTCTGTACATGTTTGGCTGTGCAGGCATGTGCAGGAAGCATCTCTGGAGTGGCTTCAGGCTAAGCATGCTACCAATCAGCTGCTGGGAAAGGTGGAGCTGCTGTTTCGTCCTTTTCTTCGCTGGCTGGATCGGAGCTTGGAGAGGCTGTTCACCGAAGGAGCCAGACAGGTGAGGCTGAAGTCTACAAGGGAAAATTCAGTAAAAATGAATGAAAATAATTATTTTTGACGTCTGGATACATATGAAAGAGGACAATTAAACATGGAAAGAAGAAAAATTCATCAATTTGTTTTATTTCTTTTCTTTTTTTTTAATTGAGCTAATAGTTTGTGGGTTTTTTTTTTTACAAGTGTTATTATTTCAAGCTTGACCTCTACAGAAATAGCTGAAAGTTGGTCATTATAAATATGGGAATCATAAAATAGTTTTTAAAAATACTAGAAATTAGTCCCATGAATTGAACCTTGGATTATTTAGATAAAAGAATATTCAGGATTGAATGGTCCAGTCTAAGTGCACATAGGCGACTTGCAAAAGAGATTGGAAAATATATTCAGTCTCTAGATTTGCAAAACTGTCAGAGACATCCACTGATTGCCTGCAGCATTTTTATAGATTAACAAAAATTTTTTTAGAAAAGGTTATATTTGGAGGAAATCTGACTGCCATGATAGAGGGTCAGCTCTCCTTTCATTTGTAATTCTCCTTGAAGAGTTTACTGCAGAACTTGATCAAAATACAGTTCATCAATCCTTGTTGTTTTGCCTCTGTTCCAGCTTAAGAAAGACATTGATTTAGAAAAAGCTGGCCTGCAGTTTATAACGTACCAGGAACTCCAGATTTCGGTGACTGAAACCTCCGACCCTGCTTCTGGTGTCGCCGGTGACGAGGACGCCCATAACTCGACTGAAAAGATAGAAGATGTGGACTCCGAGGAAGAAGAGCACCAGAAGCCCATACAGAGTGACGAAGGTCAGCTGCTGGAGGAAGATGCGAGCCATCTGGTGGAGAACATCAGAATCAGCGATCCCCGCAGAGGCACCGAGGTCAAGTTGCTGGGCCTCAGGCTGGGGGAAAACACTGCCACCGTTACTGCCCAACGGATTACTGTTTGTCTGCAGTGTAACAGGTCATTTATCTGAACACACAAAAATGAATTATTTCCTTTTGATCTGATTCTGAGAGTGGAACCTGACCAGTCGCTGCTTTTTGTTGGCTTCAGGTGCAAGGTGACTGCAGATCTGACCCTTACTGGAAGGACAGCCTGCTCGGCTCAGTGTGACAAGTGTGATGCGGGCATAAATGCTGCATTCAGGCCCTGCATGATCCACCATTACAGCGACGTCCTGGGATACCTGGACCTTCAAAACGCCACCGCCTCTGACCTTGTACTTCAGGACTGCGACCTGACTGTGGGATGCCTCAGCTGCTCTGAGGAGATCCCGGTGGAGGTGATGAACATCAGAAAAGGCCATCGAAGAAGGGCGGAGTATATATAATGTACTTAACTTCTTTTCTCTCTTTTTTTTATTTTTATTTTTTTTTATTAGAGCGTTTTTTATGGACAAACGAAGGAGTTCAACT